GCACGCTGCAAAGATAATTACTAAGCAAAAGCAATTGAGGGGGTATGCCAGTGTGTGTGTGTGTGTGTGTGTGTGTATGTATGTGTGTGTGTGTGTGTATGTGTGTGTGTGTGGGGGGGGCACTCCAGTGGAGCCATATTTCCAACAGGTGCTGTATTTGATTAAAGTTAGCAGAGCCAGGCTGAGTGCAGCTGTTTGCTGGTGGAGGGCAGCTGCTGTCACTACAGCTGTGCATATACTTTAGAGGAAGCTACTTCACCATGTGCACTCTGGGGCCACACCGGGGGTTTTCTGTGTGTGTGTGTGTAATATTGTGAAACTGTCTGACCTTTTATAACGCATCTTTCACATTCACTCTTACTTTAGGCTTGTGTGAACTCATACCCTCACCACCTTCAGGTGCAAGTGTTCACTTCTCTTTTGTCAAACATCTCATAACACATTGGACTTTCAGAGACTTGGTTCATTCCCACATTAAGCTCAAAGTAAAGTACTGTGCTGTAGTGAAAGTCAGGCTTTTTTCAGGTGCTGTTTACATTACCAGTGCTGCTGACTCCATTAGTCATGCTAACACTACATCTTTTCCTCCTCTGCACAGTTTGGAGAAAGTTTCCTGCTTCCTTGTTTCCATGAGGGGCTCAGAGTTACCTTTCTCTCTTTCTCTCCTTCTCTCTTCTACTCTTTTCTTTCTTTCCTGGGCAGAGAGCTGTCACACGTCCCTTGTCCCTCCCATCTGTTTCTTGTCTTGTCCGTCTCCTGAGTCAGGTAGAGCATCTTATTGTGGGGGTTGCCATGTAAACAGAGCTGCGGTAACCAGCCAGTCACATCCAAACTATACACACGTGAACAGATGAACGCATGCGATCGACGTAAGCGTTGCACGTACTTGCCAGAGCAAAACGCACACAGATTTTGACCTCTTCCAGATGTCTTCTTTGATACAGCCTGACTCGTGGGTGAGTTGCATCACGGCCAACAAAGCTTTTGTTGTTTTAGGATGAATTCAACAGGAAGCTGGAGATTCCTCGGCTGCTGGGACCGATCATCATTAAATAACAATGAAATGAAACACTGATCATCATTCATGATACAAATCTGCCACATTCTTTTCAACAAAATGTCACTAAGATGCTGAACTAAGAAATGTTCTCTTTATATGAGTTCAGTGTTTTAAATCACCTCCTGAAGACCTATTTTTATAGATTATATTAACAATTTTTTATTCTATTCTTTATTTGTGCCATCTGCACAGTATCTGGTGTTAAAAACGGAATTAAATCTTCAGGGACATTCCAGATTAACAGCTTTAAGTGGAAAATCAACCACGATTGTCTCACTGTTACATCATTTCTTAGCTATAATAATGGGGTAGTTGCTATTATCATGCGCTGTAATCATGAATAAAAGAGTTCAGGTGAATCCATGCATCTCATGGCCCAGTGAAACTTTTCTTGGAGCTGCATCTCATATTCCAGACATCTCAGGATATCTGTCCACCGACATATAGGCCAGACTAAATGAGCTGACTGGCGCCTTCACATGTGGATCACTTTGTGTGTGTGTGATCGACTGCTGACATTTGCAGCCCTGGCCCTTGTTGCCCTTGCACTGCCCTAGCAACTGCTACACTGGCCTTGCATCCGTTTATATAAGTGGCACACTGCTCCTCTCATGTTTTAGTTCTTAGCAGTGCAGGACCCACATTTGAGTGGTGGTAGTGATCTGGGTTTCTTTAAGCAGTAGGCGGCTGTCTCTGTCTCTCATCATACACACTGCAGTGCAACCTAACACCAGCAGCTGCCTATTCAAATACATTACAATATAATCACTCGTGGGGAATGTGGGGCACCAGCAGATTTATTATCTGGATGGACACAACAACAATTATTTTGTTATATTTAGAATCTGCATAATGAATTAAATTATGAGGAACAGTGGGGGAGGAAGTACTAGAACATTTCCCTCAAAGGTTCAGTGGGCTGTT